AATCTCATTGACTATTGGTACCGATATGAGTGGCAGCATAGAGGAAGTCTTCACGTACATGGTATTGGGAAAGTTTTGGAGCTCCGACCTTCGATTGGAAGTTTACATATCAAGATGAACAGTTAATGAAAGAAATGATTACATATATTGATTCAATCATTACAGCTATGAATCCAGATAATTCTACCCATATATCTCAACAATATCCATGTCAAAAACGGCAAACGGAACTAACAGATAATTTTGAAGATTATTGTCAATTAGTAAATAGGCTTCAAAAACATACAAAATGCTCACCGCCATATTGTTTTGTAGTAAATAAAAATACTAAACTAGAAGAATGTTGGTTTGGTTATCCTAAAGAATTACATGATTCTACTATTATTCAATTTAATAAGCACAACAACCCAGAGTTATTATTGTATCACAATTATCCATTACTTAATCCATATTGTCATGTTCAGCTTCAAGGTTGGAGGGCTAATGTTAATAAAAAACTCATTATTTCCCTTCATACTGCTCTTTCTTATGTTGCAAAGTATGCAGCAAAGTCAGAACCAAGATCAGCTGCATTTAACGAAATGTTCGCTACTGACATTTATGATGCAAAGTCTGATGAACCTGCACTTAAATCTATTTAACGACTCTTATTACATACTATATCAGAACGTGATTTTTCTGCTCAGGAAACATCACATCTTTTATTAAAGCTGCCACTGGTCAAATCATTACGCACATTTTTTACTCTTAATCTTAATGAGAATGGTACATTGCGTGAATTAATCCGGAGTAATAACATACAAGGTGCTATTAAAACGAGACTTTCTCATCTGCAAATCTATTGGGATTGTTCTCCTGCGTTTGAGAACTATTTTCTATTTAATCTATATAAAAACTTTATACATAGTCCTTATACATACAAATGGAGCCCACGTAAAAAAGATTGTATTATTCAAATTTGGCCTTGGCCATCACCTCTTCGTTTAGGGCCAGATTGGAATGATTATTGTAGATTAAAAGTACTTCTCCATATTCCTCACCGAAATATAATAGATTTTTTTCAGAATAATAATGAGATACAATGGATTAAAGTATATCAACAAAATCTTAATGAAATTGAAGTAGATGGTAATGATCTTCTTGGTCAACCAGTGGATGCTGAAGATGAAAAGGAAGATGACGAATACGAAGAGCTTGAAGAAGATAATTTTGAATTTCAAGAACCATGGATACAAATAGCTGAAAAAAATATACAGGCTTTGTCAAATAATTCGTTTGATCTTGGAGAATGCTATATTGATACTGAATATATATGGTCGGGATCATTGGAAATTTTTCCAAATCTTGATGATGTCGAAACATTTTTAGAACATGCCAAAAATGGTCAAATTGAGGCAACTGTTCATAATGATAATGAACTGTATATTGATCCGTCCACACTAAACAAGACACAAGCACAGATTTATGACTATGTAATTACATACTATTCTAGAATTCTTAATGGAAAGTCAATCAATTCAATAGAACCTTTATGTGCTATTGTTATGGGTACAGCCGGTACTAGCAAATCATATGTTATTAAAGCTATTCACAATCATATTTTGGCATTGGCACAAGAATATGGAATTAATTCAGAAGAGGAACCACCAATATTAGTCTTGCATCAACCAGCGTTGTGGCTTTCAACATAAATGGTCATACAATTCACTCTGCACTTCAAATACCCATAAATTTTAATAATATAGAACTTAGTTCTGAATCTTTAAAAAAGTTTTAACGATCATTTAAGAATGTTAAAATCATTTTATTTGATAAAAAAAGTATAATTGGTCGTAAATTTCTTTCAATAATTGACCAACGTTTACACCAAGCCTT